AAGGTTGGAAATCAAACCGAAAATAAAATTTGAAAAATTCAAAACAAGTAATTTCCTTAAAATTGAACTATTAATAGCTTTAAACAGTTCAATTTGATTCCAAGAAAATGAAACCCGAATGAATTTAATAATAAGAAAAATTCATCAACTATAAAAATGTTTAATAATATAATTGATGGCGAAAGAGATATGAGGTATCTACAGTTATTTCACTCCCCATTTAGCGAGAAAAGCCAGCTAGATAACAAGAAAATAAGAGTTTTTTGTTCCTAGTTTGTTTAGACCTACAAGGTTCTAATAAAGCATGACCATTGTTTCTTACACTTAGGTCATGTAAATGTAGAACACGTTTTTTTTATCAATTTTTAATTTGCTTGTGTACTTCATTGTTTTTCTTTCCTTTCGTTAGTTTTAAGGAAAGGAAACCAATAAAATGAACTATGATTAGTGGTCTACATGAATGATGGTGAGTTAGTTTTAGGTCAAGTGATGCACAACCCAAATCAAATTATAAGACACATAAATCCATGTGTTTCGGGTGATGCGCCGGTCGAATTGGATTGATACTAAACATGTCTATACATTAACTAAATATAGTTGACCTCGGTTCAGTTTATGTTAATCAAGCCAAATTAGTTGGTTATCCAAAATCGAATTATTGTCATCTTAGCAATTGTAATTGCTGTTGTTGTGGTTACTTGAGAACCGAATATTATCATTTTTGGATATGTTGCGGTTAACCGCGTTCAACACATTAACCTATTATGTCATTCTATTTGGTTTAGGTTACCTAATGGGGTTTAATTTTGCGATTATTTGGGACTTTTTTTTTTGCTTCATTTTATTGTTCTCGATTAACTAAAACCAAATATGCAACTATTATATTCCTTCATTTTATTGTTCTCGATTAACTATCAATCGTAAAATTATTCATAAAAAAAAGTAAAATTCGAATTCGACTTCAGTTAAATTGCATGACCATAACAAATTTTCTGCCCTATATGCCCTATCCAATCCTCGCCTTCGCTCACCAATTCAACCATTTTCGAAATACTGTTGGTGGAATCCTAAGTTGTTTCCACCTCTGTATCCCAAGGTCTCTAGCACGAGTTTTGTATCGAGATCGAGTTTCATCCTCTTTAGTGTTTTTTTCTTTTTCTTTTTCTTGTTTGTTGAGCATGATCACAATTGAACCCAAACACATGGGTATCCTAACTTGAATCCAAATCATCCCATTGTCGCACAATTTCCCCATCTTAAAACATTGTCGGTGGAATCCTGAGTTGTAATCTTCCATTGTTTCCCATGCCTGCGACCAATGATCCATATTAGATATGCTCTGTCCAATCCTCAACATCGCTCACCAATTCATAACTTTCTCAAAACAATGTTAGCGAAATCCTAAGTTGTCCCCCTCCACCGTTTCCCAATGCCGCTACCGAAAATCCACACCAGATCTGCTCAATGTTGGCGCGTTTTGTATCGGGAAGTTTCGTCCCCTTTAGTGTTTTTTTTTTCCTTTCACTTTCACTTTTCCTTTTTGTTGAGCATGGAAGGGTGTAATGATGTCATCCCTATTTAGTGAAAAGGTGTGTGAGGGTGGGGTGGGGGGGAGGGTTGGTGTCAGGAATGTATGGAGAATTGTTTTCCACTGGATGTCATTCAAGAAGGATAGAATGATTTGGCATGAGGACAGGTCGTGCGAGTATACAGTAAAGTCTAGGTATCACCTAGCAATGAAGCTTAGTCGTCGGTCGGGGAATTGAAAGTCTGAAACAAGTTGGATGGATAAGAGTTTTCGAAAGAAGGTGTGGCATGCTCCGGTGCCGCCTAAATTGAATTTTTGATGTGGCCGATTCTGAACTGAATTCTCCGTATGACTGAAGCCTTATGTGCTATGAGGTCTAGTTTTTAGAACGATGCTTGATATGATGAAGCGAGATTGAGATTATAGAACGTCTCTTTCTCTCTTGTCCGGTGGCACTTTCCATGTGGGATGTGTTTCGATTAATGCCGATTCGAGTCGGCCTTTCGGAGGCTAATCTTGGCGTCTTCCTAAGGAGGTTGTATGAGATAGAGGATGATATGGAGAGGTAATGAGGATCAACTCGATGTTATGGAGTATTTGCAAGTCTTGAAATTGTGTGGCGTTTGATGGTGCCCCGGTATAAAACAGAAGTCATGCGGTGACAGTTTGACGCACATATCTCAATTTGGGTTGATGGCCCGGGTTGTAAGACAGGGGGCGTAAGGCTGGGGGAAAGCCCAAGGGAAGTGCAAAAGGATGTGCCACACAGAGTGAACTAGATCTGCATCTTTGATGGAGCAGTACAGAGTGAAACACACTCGGCGGTTGGTTTAGTTTTGCACAGGATTAATGGGGTGGTAAGAAGGGCTAAGGAACTGGATATGCGGGTTTCACTTATCCGATGTTGGTGGAATTGGTGGCCCTAAGGGATGCTATTCTCTGGTGCCGTGAGCTGGGTTTTGAAGGTGTTTGTTTTCGAGGGGACGTGAAGGTTTTTATTCACAAAGCTACATCTGCAGATGTTAGTGACAGTCGGGGTGGGGCAATTTTGCAGGAGGTTCATGACCTTCTTTCGGAAGACAGATGATAGGGGGGAATCCTATTTTTCGGCATACATAACAATAAAATAGCCCATAGGGTGGTACAAAAGGCCCTTACTTTGTTTCTTGCTTTGATTGGTAGTTATATTTTTTGCGCTTGGCTCCCGACGGATTTATTGTGATCTCATTGTTTCTTGGTAATGCAAGTTATCTTTTGGCAACAAAAAAAAGTGTAGAATTTCTTTGGCCGGTAAACCCACAATCCAACTACATACACTAATATCTACCCAATCCAACCCGGAAAAAATGTCAACGAATATTGGTTCACAATTGTAACAATTATCAATAAGTGAGCTGATTAATTTGATGTGGTAACCACCCCAACTCACTAAATGTCCACCTTGTCATAAACCAATTAGTCCCAATAACTCGAGTTGTTGGGAGAAGGTTATGCTGGATCTTATATCACTCTCTAACACGCCCCCTCAAACGAAGCCAACCCATGGGCTTGAAGTTTGCACAGGCCCACCGTACCTTGTGCTTTAATCAACTGTTAATATTGGAGATCGTGGAGATTCGAACACACGACCACTTGGCAAAACCAGCTCTGATACTATGTCATAAACCAGTTACTCCCAACAACTCTGATACCCTGTCATAAACCAGTTAGTCCAAATAACTTGAGTTGTTGGGAGAAGGTTATGCTGGATCTTATATCACTCTCTAACACACCCCTACCCTGCGGCACCTAGGGATGGCAACAAAACACGAACCCACAGGTACGCTATCCGACCCAACCCGATCAGCGCTGGTAAAACCCGTGTTGCGGGTTTTGGGTCGGGTTCGGGTTTAAACCCGTTCACTATTCATCGGGTTGGGTTTGGGTTTAGGTATACTCACCCCATGGGTACCCGCCCACACCCATATAATTACTTTTTCCTGTATATTTAATATTCTAAACAACTTATCTTCTTTATGTTTGTGGAGACATGTCTAATTTTTTCTTTCTAATTGTGTAGAATGAAGTTGATATTATCGAGTGGAGAGTGAAGAAGGTAAATTGACAAGGAGGAAGAAGCTTCCAATTAATCATGTTGTTTACGGATAATTTGTGATTTGCTTCAATTTTCTTGAGTAATCTAGATTGGCGTTGAACAATTTGTATGGTTAATTTTTTATTTGCTTGAATTTTCTAGAATTGTGTTTTATATATGGATAATTTGTATTGAGAGATTGATATTTGACTTTTACTTTGATAGGAACTTGTTATTGTAAATTTTTTACGACAAAAACCCATGGGGTACCCATGAACCCGCGGATACCCAGCGGATTGGGTTGGGTTTGAGTTTTCCAAACCTAGTGGGTTTTACCCCGAGTATTTTTCACGAATAAACCCACGGATAAACCCACGGATTTGGGTTTGGATTTGGCAAAACCGAGACCCAACTCGACCCATTGCCATCCCTAGCGGCACCTAATCCTCACTCTACCCTCACCAACCACTTATATGAATATATAGAAATCAATTATTTACTTATAAATTTTTGGTAAACATTTAAATTAATTATCATTGTACTTATCCAATATCAACAATTAAAGCATCCAATTAATCTCCCAGATTTCAAACCTTTTGTTCTCTGTTCTCACAATATCATAGTTTTAAAAATATTTCAAACATAGATATTATTCCCTAAAAAATTCATACATGTATAGAAAAATGTTTATTGTTTTATGAATGCATTAATCTTTTATTTTTCCCCCATATATTAAAATTTAAAAAGGAACATTTGAGAACATCATTCTCTATAAATTGTGGTCCTTTCTTCTTCGATAATCCAAAAAAAATCATAAAAATAGTTGTGGGAACATCATGTGGTCATTCAGATCTTTTCTGCACATTTTTATATTTGGAATCTTCCTTCTATCTAATGTGAATCTAATCTGCGCCTATAATAGCGACAGAAAAGTCGGTGCCCAAGCTCTTTAAGCCATTAGGGAATCCATTTTGTTTTCTGATCAATAATATTTTTTCAACAATCTACATTTAATGCTAAAAAAATTTATGATTCATTAACAGGTTTATATAGTGTACATGGGCGCATTGCCTAAGCATGATCAACAGTATTCTCCTCCATCTCACCATCTCTCCATACTTCAAGAAGTTGTCGATGACAGGTCGAGATTTTCCCGATATCTCTAGTCATCATAATAATTAGCAAAAACTCGTTTAACACTCATATAATTCGATATTCATATCAAATGTATTTAAAATTGCCGTCCTTGTAAAAAAATTATTCATGTTATTTTTCCTGCTCTATTTAATGCTTGGCATAGCATACCGTATAGCATATTTGATACATATTGGTAATCATTTTTTCATAAGTCAAATTGAAAATTCTAATAATTGGTTATAATAATTTCATTCGTCCAGCCCATTAGAGTCGACAGGATTATTGGTCAGGAGTTACAAAAGGAGTTTCAACGGATTTGCGGCGCAACTAACCAATGACGAAGCCCAAACGATTTCTGGTACGTGAAATATGTCTCCTTCCATGCACAAATGTCTTCATTCTAATTTCTAATAGGCAAGATCATACAATGAATTGTAGAGTCCCTATTCTAAAATGGAGGTGTAGTACAATTTTATAAGTATGATAAAATGAAAATAGTCATAAAATTATTATTTAAAAAATATTTCCAAATAAAATTATTTATTAACTCTTCAATTTTTGTGTTTGTGAGAATTCATTTTCATTCATGGTTAATCCATTAAGGATTTTTTTTAGTCATTTTAGAACATAAATAAGACTTTTAGAACATACATATGACTTTAATGATAAATATACAAGCATCATTTGTATATACACGAGAATATTGATCAATGACTAGTATTAGTTTTAATTAACATATTTAGACAGATCATCGTAACCATAATCAATCAATCATACATGCCATTGATGAGCCTTAATAAGCCTGTCTTTTTCTCCTTGTAGGCAGAAAAGACGTCATCTCTATTTTCCCAAGCAAGAAGTTGCAGCTTCAGACCACGAGGTCATGGGATTTCTTAGGATTTCCTCAACCCACGATGATTAAGAACGCTGAGGGTGTTGCTAGTGATGTCGTAGTTGGACTTATAGATAGTGGAATTTGGCCGGAACTACCCAGTTTCGATGACCGTGGTTTTGGTCCTCCGTCGGCCAAATGGAAGGGTGTCTGCAAAGGCGGATTCAATTTCACTTGTAACAAGTACTGATTCTACTATGCATAGGCTAAACTTTCATTGGAGAATTTCATTTTTATCACTTTGATTTTCTTTCTAGGACTATATTGTAACTGAACTACAATAACTGTACTCGTGAATTGATGGCAGTAAGATAATCGGAGCTCGGTACTACTCCGGGCGCCGGTCGGCAAGGGATTACGAAGGTCACGGCAGCCACACGGCGTCCACGGCAGCGGGGAACGTGGTAAAGGACGCCACTTTCTATGGGCTGGCAAGTGGCGTCGCCAGAGGTGGACTTCCCTCCGCTCGAATCGCTATGTATTCGGCGTGCGATGACATAACTTGTTCTTCAGAGGATGTTCTGGCCGCCTTCGACGATGCAATAGCTGACGGCGTCGACGTTATATCCGTATCTATCTCGACCGGTATCGCCGGCCAGATAGACCAAGATGTCATTGCAATTGGGGGTTTTCACGCGACAAACCGTGGAATCCTGACCGTACAATCCGTCGGTAATGACGGGGAATCACCCGCCAGCATGGCCAGTGTGGCTCCGTGGTTACTATCAGTTGCAGCCAGCACCATCGATCGGAAGTTCGAAACCAAAGTTGTTCTTGGCGATGGCAGGATACTTACAGTAAGTATAAGTTGTTAAATAGTATAAGATTCATAATCAATCATCATGTGCGTCACATGCACTTTGGATTTGGGTAACGTACTTGCAGGGGATCTCAGTGAATCCGTTCCCGGAGAACAGCGAGGAGCTGCCGTTGATACATGGAGATCCATCACAGGGCTGCGCAGGGTGAGTCCTCACACACCCTCCATCTCCATTTTATCTTATCTTAGCTTGCTACTTATATTGATCTGTAATTATGCGTAACTTTACTGATGTCTTTTGTTAGATCTTGTGATGCTGCCTGCCTTAACAGCAGTGTAGCCAAGGGCAAAATCGCGATATGCGATTCCAGCAACACCCAAATTGTGGCTATAGAAGCTGGTGCTGCTGGAGTTATCTTCCCTTGGGACGCCCCTGATGTCGCCGATGGTGTCTCATCCCCTGGCGCGGGAGTGGATCGCCAAACCTTTGACGCCATTGTCTCATATCATACATCCACCAAGTAAACAGACATACATAAATATGATTCTAGTCCTGTTTAGTTATATGGCCACAATTGGATTAAGCTAACTTATGCAGTTGTTTTCCCATAGAAATCCAGTGGCCAAGATACTGAAAAGTGACACTCTAAAAGATTCTGGAGCACCATTGGTGGCTTCCTTCTCCTCCAGGGGTCCGAATTCTATCCTCTCTGCTATTCTCAAGGTATGGTACTCGATTCATGTATGTCGACGACATCATTATCCAATATTTCAATTTCAACGTCAGAGATCGAATCGTTTTGGCTATGTTTGTGATCGTTGGATTAATGTTTTTTCCAGCCGGATGTGAGTGCTCCTGGGGTGGATATCTTGGCTGGGTTTTCTCCTGAAGCATCATTAACTGGTGACCCCTCTGACAAAAGACGATACAGTTTCAATGTGTTATCTGGAACTTCTATGGCCTGCCCACATGTTGCTGGCGTAGCTGCTTACCTCAAAACTCTACACCCAGATTGGTCTCCCTCTGCCATCAAATCCGCAATCATCACCACAGGTACTAATTTCCATACATAACCATAATATATTTGACCTTTAAATCATCGAATTCATGTATTGTTCTGGCATGTCTGCAGCGTCACCAATGCATTCGCAGAATGTTAGCAATCCAAGTGATACCTATCAATCGACAGAATTCGCTTTCGGGTCGGGGCAACTGAATCCAGTGGGAGCTGCAAACCCAGGACTTGTGTATGAAACATCAACACAGGACGACATCAACTTGCTCTGCAACTTGGGTTACACTGCCGACAGGCTGAGAACCGTAACCGGTGACAACAACAGCAGTTGCGTAGCTCGAGCTGATCCAGCCGCTATCAAGGACTTTAACTATCCCTCCATAAGCGCTGATGTTTCGGGTACGAGGGCTGCTTTCCAAATTTCATTTCGTAGAACGGTGACGAACGTGGGAACAGCGAAGTCGACATACACATCCCAAATTGTGCCAACCATGGGAAGACTAAAGATTGAAGTGAAGCCGCCTGTTCTTGCTTTTGGGTCTCTGAACGAGCAGAAATCTTTCACCGTGACTGTATCGGGAGGTAATTTTCCAGCGAAAGGCGACTTCTTGGCCTCTGCTGCACTAAATTGGAGCGACGGAGCTCATAGTGTTAGAAGCCCAATTGTTATCTACGCAAAGGAATAGCCTTTTGATTTCACTTTAACTGGCTGTTCATTGATAAAGACTAGCACAAGTCGGCTCTATCGTCTCGTGTATCAGAAAATTATTATTTAAAGAGTAATAATTTTAATGTTAACCAAAAGTGAAAGTAATCTTATTTCATTTTTAATTATTCTTTTCATAGGTTTGTTATTTACAATAGCATATGGTTGATAAACTTGCATAAAGTAGAAGAGTAGTCAAATAGATGATTATTTATGTTTAAACTTCTTTCATGACGCTATTGTTTCAATTTGTATGACTATTAGTTGATCCTGCTATAACTTTTGCACAATGAACCAACTTTTCCGGATCTTTTCAAAAAGTATTTTAAAAAAATAATTGAGTTTTAGCTAAAAAACCATCAGAATTACTTTCATGACGCTATTGTTTCAATTTGTATGGCTAGTAGTTGATCTTGCTATAACTTTTGCAGAATGAACCAATTTTCTGGATATTTTCAAAAAGTATTTTAAAAAACTAATTGACTGTTTAGCTGAAAAACTATTAGAATTACTTTCTAATATAAGAGGTAATGTAAAATGACTGAAAATATTTCTAACATAAATACTATATCCAATTCAAGTAGACCCATTGCTATAACTTTTGCACAATGAACCAACTTTTCCGGATCTTTTCAAAAAGTATTTTAAAAAAATAATTGAGTTTTAGCTAAAAAACCATCAGAATTACTTTCATGACGCTATTGTTTCAATTTGTATGGCTAGTAGTTGATCTTGCTATAACTTTTGCAGAATGAACCAATTTTCTGGATATTTTCAAAAAGTATTTTAAAAAACTAATTGACTGTTTAGCTGAAAAACTATTAGAATTACTTTCTAATATAAGAGGTAATGTAAAATGACTGAAAATATTTCTAACATAAAATATGAATCCAAATTCTAAAAATAAAAAAGTATTAAAAATGCACCACGTTAGATTTATTTCATAATAAATTATACTATTTTCAATTTATTTTTGTATGATGATATAAATGAAAGAAAGTATGTTTTCTAGAAAAAAATAATATATTGTCAAGATAGTTTTGCATTTTCAAATCGGAGCTTTTGCATTTAAGTTACAAAAAACTTCGGCTTTTTAAAAAGCGGAACTTTAGAGGTGTTTGGCTTGGCTTCAACTTTTGAAACATAAAACTTCTAAAATTCGAACATAGTCCTTCTCTTTTGGCTTTCTTTTTTGGGTTTGAGGTAATCGTGGTTCTCTTTTATGAAATTTTTGAACTAATTGCAGGTTTGAGAAGGTTCAACTCACATTGATCGGATAAAATTAGGTTGGATACCCATGGAATTGAGTTCAATTATCTTTTTTCAAACAAAAGGAAAAAGCACAATGAGAAATACTAAAGCTAAAACTCGCTATCAACTCAATTCTCCATAACACCAGGTTCACCTTGCTTCGACCTGGTTGAGAGTTTTGGGCAAATTCACACCTGACATTACTCGCCAATTACAAAAAGAGATAAAACTCGCTCTCGCCGAAAACATTTAAAACCGGGTTGGTTTGCTAAAACACAACTCCTACCAATGGCGAAGGGTAACCAATGAAAGAGAATGCAGCATAGTGGCACAAGTAATAAATATCGAATCCACAGGGTTCTAGAGTTTCTATTACTCAGCTTCAGTTCATTATCTAGCAAACCAGATTAATGATTGATTTACTAAACTACTCTACTAACTAAACTAAGGCTAAACTACTAATTACAGGTTGGGAACTCACTCAGGTATGATTCCCCTAGCTCCTCAATTAGGTCCAAGTTGTAATTCGCTTCGATCGTTTTACTGTTGATTAAATTGCGGAAGATCCTAAATTAGCTTTGAATCTCTTAAGCTGACCAAGTCCTCTTGGACATATTATCCGGCAAACGACTAGCCTTCACCGGGATAGAATGCTTAGGCGATTCACACAGATCTCCACTACGTGGAATGAATTCCAGTACAAAGCAGTGAATTGACTGACTCTCGCACAATCAATTCACTCTTATCAATTGAAGAAGCTCTATCAACCTAATCATATTCTATCTATCATAGGTTAAAGCAGAAATCAAGAGAATTTGATCGGGATTCAATTGACTCAATAAATCATGCCTCAATCGATTGTAATCAAACAATATAACATCCAAAACTTCACACAAGAAAGATCCGAACACATGGAACTAGGGTTACTCAAGACCTAAGTGAAGGGAAGTTACTCCACAGAGAAGAGAGAGACTGCAGAAATTTGATATAGATCTTCAATCTCCATTTCCAAGCTTGATTCCCGAGCTCCAATGGCGAAAAAATCCTCCCAAATAGCTCCAAGTATGTTCCCACGTCTCTCTCTCTCTCTAGGGTTCTTCCCTTGGGTGTTTGGGATCCAAAAAACCAGCTCTCCCTCTCTAAAATCGTAGAAATCAGACTTATACCCGAGCAGGGGCAGAAACACGGTCGGGAACACAGCCGTGTTTAGTCCTGTCCGTGTTTGGTCCCGCCCATGTTTTGCATCCCTTCAGCAGTCTTCAAAATAGAGGCTCGCCACAAAAAACACTGGTGGGGTGTTAAGTGAAACACGACCGTGTTTTAAGGGAAGTCTACCCGTGTTTCTTCCTCCAAACTTGTTCCACTATATTCGATGCTTCATTTCTCCCTCGTCCGGACTCTGAATCAGTCGCCGTTTAATCCCAGACGCTCGTATTCTAGTCCTCTTTATTTTCATCACAAGCTTATATGATTATTTTTCCATAAAATGAGGTATAAATCCATTATTCTTCAGGTCATGCCCGAGTTTCTTCTCCCGAATCGCCAATTGACCTTCGATTGACTTGAAACTTGCGCCTATGCTTCAATTTTTGCGCTAGGAATTGAAATGTGAAAAAAGAACAAAATCTATCATAAAATAGGCTAAGAAAGCACAAACTCGAGCCAAAATGATCAAGAAACGAGGGTGCAAATACGACGTTATCACGAGTTAAAGTCGCTTTGGTTGGATACCCATGCGTTTGGACTCAATTGTCATTCTAAACCAAAAGGAAAAAGATAAAAAAATACAAAATTTCAAAAAACTCGCTCACGATACTCTTAACATTGCGTTCAATTCGCTTTGATCGGGTCGACCTAGTTTTAACAAATTCATAAATTACCAAACCTGAAAATTACAAAAGCGGATAAAACTCGTTCTAAATACGAAGCACGTCAACAATGGGTTAGAGTTCAATTGTCATTCTCAATGAAAAAGAAAACGAGAAATAAAAAAAATATTAAAGTGTACAAAACTTGCTTTCTATCTAAAACTGGTCAAAAACATGTTCAGCTTGCGTTGACCAATTTTTTAACAAATTAATACATGCTTCAACCTGCCAATTATAAAAGCGGACCAAGCTCTCTCACTATACAACACTCGTAAATACCTTAGATCCGGGTTCAATTGAATTCCAAACCAAAAGAAAAAAGAGAAATTTATAAATACTAAAGTCGATTTCAAGTCGCTTTGACCGGATCGAATTAGGTTGGATACCCATTGATTTGGGTTCAATTGTGATCATGCTCAACAATAAGGAAAAAAGGTGAAAGAAAAAAAACACTAAAGCGGACGAAACTCGATCCCGATACAAAGGTTGTAGAATGGAGAGTGAGGCAAAAGAAGGACTTGGAACTTCCTCACTTGCACTTGAAGGAGTGTCAGAGCCACTAATGAATAGTAACTTCAATGTTAGACTTTTATATAATATTATTATAAATGCTAAAGCCGGTTTCAAGTTGCTTTCACCGGATCGAATTAGGTTGGATACCCATGAATTTGGGTTCAATTGCGATCATGCTCAACAAAAAGGAAAAAAGTGAAAGAAAAAAACACTAAAGTGGACGAAACTCGGTCCCGAAACAAAGGTTGTAGAATGGAGAGTGGAGTAAAAGAAGGAGTTGGAACTTCCCTACTTGAACTTGGAGGAGTGTGAGAACTACTAATGAATAGTAAATCCAAAGTTAGACTTTTATATATTAATTATAAATACTAAAGTCGGTTTCAAGCCGCTTTGACCATAGCGAATTATGTAGGATACCCATGGATTTGGGTTGAATTGTGATCATGCTCAACCAAAAGGAAAAAAGTGAAAGAAAAAACACTAAAGCGGACAAAACTCGGTCCCGATACAAAGGTTTTAGAATGGAGAGTGAGGTAAAAGAAGGACATGTAACTTCCCCAGTTGCACGTGAAGGAGTGTGAGAGCCACTAATGAATAATAACTCCAATGTTAGGCTTTTATATATTAATTCATTAATTTGACCAGATCGAATTAGGTTGGATACCAATGGATTTAGATCGATTGTGATCATGCTCAACAAAAAGGAAAATAAAAGTGAAAGAAAAAATCACTAAAGTGGATGAAATTCGGTCACGATACAAAGGTTGTAGAATAGAGAGTGGGGTAAAAGAAGGACTTGGAACTTCCCCACTTGCACTTGGAGGAGCGTGAGAGCCACTAATGAATAGTAACTCCAATGTTAGGCTTTTATATATTATCGAATTAGGTTGGATACCCATAGATTTGGGTTCAATTTGTGATCATGCTCAACAAAAAGGAAAAAAGTGAAAGAAAAAACACTAAAGCAGACGAAATTCGGTCCCCATACAAAGGTTGTAGAATGGAGAGTGGGGTAAAAGAAGGAATTGAAACTTCTTCACTTGCACTTGGAGGAGTGTGAGAGCCACTAATGAATAGTAACTCCAATGTTAGGCTCTTATATATTAATTAATATATATTAAATTGACCGAATCGAATTAGGTCGGATACCCATAGATTTGGGTTCAATTTTTGATCATGCTCAATAAAAATGAAAAAGTGAAAGAAAAAAACACTAAAGCAAACGAAACTCGGTCCCGATACAAAGTTTGTAGAATGGAGAGTGGGGTAAAAGAAGAATTTGAAACTTTCTCACTTGCACTTGGAGGAGTGTGAGAGACACTAATGAATAGTAACTCCAATGTTAGGCTTTTATAAATTATAATAATAAGTAAATTAAAATGGGCTCA